GTATAAAGATTTAGTCGCCTCTTACGGCAGGCATTGCCTTACCGCGGGTAAATTCTTGAACTCCCAACTCGCAGGGGGTCGTTTTTGTTACGGTTCAGCAGCAATGAGAATTCGGTCCATGAGGTTTTTTCTTATTAACTCATGTGGCACCTATACTCGAGCTTCATTATGTAAACAGCGCAATGTTTAGCTTCTGAGTAATCGACACAGTGCATGACGGGCAGGTTCGTGGATTTCCATTATTTTATCGACATTCCACACAGTGATGCATCTTTCACATCCGTGTTGAAACAAAAAATTCATAATTAGTGTGGTGCCTAATACTTTTGGCAAGGCTGTAGATCACTATATCCATATTTTGCCAATATAATGGACTACTTTTTACTAGACCTAATATTATATTATATTATATGTGTAGGCAATTACGACTAAGCAAAAGAGGCGGCTAAATAGCTTAGCTTGAAGTGTTTTTGTTAACAGAGCATTTAAAAAATTTCAATTTTAGTTTGCACTTGAAATCGGGCACGAACTTATGCACTCATCAATACTTTTTCCAAATTTTGGTTTAATTTTCAATAGTACAAAGGAGATCGGTTTGAGTTCCTGTAAAGGAAGTTGTTTTTCCGTATCTGAAACTGAATACAATGTGGGGTCTCGAAACACTGGGTTTAAGCGAGTAAATGTTTTTTCTTTCACACCACATTTTACCGTTGTAAAATGTATATATTCAGCATACATTTTCTAAGTTTCGAAATGGGGGATGAAACTTCCCAAAGGTTAAACTGAGACTAATGTTTGTGTTTTTCGTGTTATTTATGGGCATATGTGCGGGTGAAAGGACTGTTGTTTTCCCCATACAGAAAAGACATTTTTTTCAAAATCTTATTCACATTAAAAGGTCTTGGAGCAGCAATTGAGGGTGAGAGGCTAATCCCATGTGTGATTTGGGTGGATTCCCATTCAAAACTGATCCAAAACTAATGTTGCAATAAGTACGAAGAAGATACAGATTTAGAATTCACAAGTTGAGTTGTGGCCAAGAAAAAATCTTCGCTATTGGATTCAGCGATAAGCTCTCTTCGATCGAAGACTTTGGTATAAAAGTGACGAGGAAATCACGAGACTTTGCTCTTGGTGCGATGTTATGGATACAAATCAAATTCTTACTTTCCAACTGTTTAAATGGTTCGAGCGAGGTTACGCAAAATTTACCTTCTTAGAAATATTTCTACCGGTGCACGGTTATTTTTACATCGCAGATCTTGACACGGTTCAAGCAATTCAATTTATGAAAAGAACGTGGGGTGACATTATGAAGAAACTACTATAAGCAACGGCAAGGTGTTATGATCAGACTATGCTAGTCGATGTCGTCGAGGTCATCCAATGGTAGGTTCAGGAAATACTGCATCGATGGGTTCCAATCAAGGTGAAAATGGTGTTAGATGAAATTTTAGTGGAATTGCAATGAGTTGAGGTTAGTGTCCTGAGGTGATTCATTACACGCAGAGCATATGTATCTACTTTTGACATATCATGAGTCAGTTCCGGATATATACATATATTTACATGATGTGTAGACGACATCAGGCGGTTTCCTGTTATGGTCCCCAAATCTCTATTTTTACAGATTTGTTACTTCCTTATCAGGGTTTCGCTCGCCCTTAATGAAAATCCATTCTGCATATTTTATTATCGCTTTTAAGTCTAATTCATCGGGGTCCTCCAGGAAACGAGCTATTTCGATGAAGTCGGACCAGTGGTAAAGGGGGATTATATGAGTAGGTTTTAAAGGTACATGCAAAGAGGTAGTGATATCGGAGTCAAGCCTGGATAGGTAGAAATTTGCTCGCCTACAGCATCCGGATCTTAATTGTGCCAGGAGTATTACGGAGAACTCTTGAAGCAGTTCGAGCTCTTCGACTGCAATGGATGGTGGATTGTCACCGAGAATGCCATTTACCGGCAGTGAGTTCAAGAAGGTGTTAGTGGGCTCTCGGTAAATGGTGTGTGTTTAAAGCCTGTCGGTATGCTGTACTTACCAGCAGTTCTGTCCACGTCTAGCAGTTCTTGTACGTGGCGCTGAAAGCAGCCCGCTCTTAAAATCGAGTACTCTCTTCCTGAGAGGTGGTTCGGCTTCCAGTAAGTGTCTGTTAGGGTGCCCCTTGTGGTAGCACTTGAATAGCGTTAAGCTCCTTAACTCATAGCATGGATGCTTAGCCAAGATGCTCTGGCAGCATCAGGAGGTTTCCTGCAACGGTCCTGCAAGACTTGTAGCTTCTGCATCTGCGTCTCGCTAGTCTCCGGCGACCAAACCGTATAGTCGGCCAGTGACATTCACATCGAGTTTGAGCTGGTACGCCTTCGTCAAGCTGGTAAGAGGGTGGCCGAGGATTTCGCAGGTTGTAACTGTAATTTTCTTGCAGTGAAGAAGTGGCAGAGATCGTCGAGATAACAGTTTACTTTACTTTTAAGTCATTAATATTTTGACTGGACGCCAATATGAAACACCTTTTGGTGGAGGAGGGAGCTTCGAGATATGCCCCCTGCGGGTTAGGGATTCAAGAATTTACCTGCGGTAAGGCATGCCTGTCGTAAAAGGTGACTAAAATCCAATAGTTCCCGCGACAGCCAAGTCTTTATTGGAGAATGTTTTTGCAGTTACAACTACAACAGAAATAAAAGTTCAGCAACAGTGAGGAGAGGACATCACCCTGCAGAAGCCTGAATTGCTGATGTAATCAAAAACTTTTGACAGATCCAGTGCTGCCAGCATAGTTCGCTCAGGGCGACTCGGAAGGTAGTGTTTCGTTCGATAGCGGAGAGAGCTTCGAACGTTTAGCTGTAATAGTTTGATTGACAGACGTACAAACATATTAATGGAAGAATATTTGATTTTTATGAAGTACAGCCATTAACGTAACCCGGCCAACGGAAATCGTTTCAATCACAGAACATACATAACCAACAACAGCTATTTCAGCGTATCTCAACCTCAAAAGGCGAAGAGTAGAAGATGTGAGAGCGGCAATAAAATATTTTGTACAACACGAAGAGCGCTGAGGCAAAAGCGGCTGATTCAGACCGACGCATGCGCTTCGACTACGCCAACAATGAAGCGCAATAAAAAATATTATTAGGCATAACAATTGTCATCTCCATCGCTCATATTGATATTAGCCAGCAATGTACAGTTGGAGAATGAAAACGACAGCAACACTAACGGCTAACAAAATTTACATACATATATACATATATGCATATAGTACACATATCTCACAGCTATTTTAGTATATGTAAATATACATGTACTCGTATATGATATGCCGATGTGAATAAACAAAATGAAAAGAGCGATAAAAGCGTTTGCTGCTAAGCATTAGCTAATAAGCAAAGTGGTAGAGTCGCCGCCGTTGCCACCTCAAACGTCGCTGACGCCACTGTCTATATGTATATACATATGTATGCCTATGGAAATCAACCAGCCGCAACTAGCCAACAGGGTGTGAAAGATTAAAATAAAAATGAAGAAATCTACGCCAACAAACAATGCACAGATACACACACAAACTACAAATACAACATGAGTAATCACACCAATGCCAGCAATGCCAGTGTAAGAGCGCAGCCAGCGAAACAACAAAACAACCAGCAAGCATACAATTAAACGAACAATAAAACTAACATGGCGGCCAGAGTGACAGAGCGCAGCGGGACGCGAGATGCGCTGACGATGAGGATGATCGCGAAAGGCAATATCTTCTTCGGTCGGTCACAAACCAACAAACAACACAAGCAAGCCAGTCAAAGTCAATTATAGTTCAGTACAGCAAAAAAAAAATCCAATAAATAAAATAAATAAGAAGCAGAAAAACTCAAACCTCAACGGAAATGAAGTATGGATCTGCTACAACACCAACAAAAAGCATTACTAATGTAGCTGAAGGAAATGGCATAAACTGGAATGGGGTTGTTGCCATCATTATATTCAATATCAATATCTGCTCGAAGCACTTCAGTGGGAACAAGAAAAATGTTCATGTATTCTCATAAGAGTCTACAGAAAAAGAAAATCGTTTGACAATACAATAACAAAAACAATGGCGTTGATTTTGAACAAAAGATGCCTGGTACAGATATGCAGTCTTCGGTTGAGAACATTCAGAAATCTTTGTTTATTGGCAACACTTTGTACAATAACTCGGTAACAGCAACGAGCAAATGTCAGTCTGAAGTATGAGAGGGGAGGAAGACAAATGTCTGCGCTCCAAAGTCATTATTTGTTGTACATATTTTCTTCAATGCATATTTCAAACATTGCGATTTGTACATTTTTTCTTCCATACGTGCACATGTATGTATGGATGTATGTATGTACATGCATACATACATATAATATATTGCAATGCTATGCGCATGGTTGGAATTATTTTGTATTACCACATTCATACGCAACAAAAAAAGCAGTGTAAAAATAAATTACTTTGGCAGGTAGGCGCAAACCATAAGCCCGCACGTTCATACATACAAACATACATACGTACAAGAATATTTATATATGTATGAATGTATGTATATGCATGTGTAGAAAGCGAGCGTTGGTAATGGAGAGAAGAAAAAAAATGAAGAACACGCACGGCTTGCTTGCTTACTTGTCGTTTGAGCTGACTTGTTCGCCTGCTCGCCTGCTTGCCTGCTTTGGCCGTCATTGTGTTAATTGAAAGCCGTATTCAATATAGCAGAGGGTAACAACAGTGATCGCACAATATACCCAACCAACATACCAACAAAGCAGATGTCTGTCGCTCGTTTGGTCGGTGTGTGCATATATATGTCTGTATGCATGTGTGCATATATGTATGTAGTTCGTTCATTATAAAATACACACTGCTGGGGCAGGGCAGGCTACAAACGACGGGCATAACAAATTCGCCAGATGTATTTTATGGCATTTTTTCTTTCGTTTGCCTTCCGCTTGTATGAAGATTACAATCACCCCAAAAATTAATGCGCTTGCCTATACACAACGTATGCGTGCGAAAGAGTGCGCGAGCGTGTTTAGCGTTTGCATGGCGCATATGTGCTTGCTGCTCGCACTTTAGTATCTCATAGGTTGTTAGATATTTTTCTTAGCAGAAATGTGATATTTTTTTTTGTATGTGCGCATTGCCAGGCTGCCATCGCCTTTGCCCGCTGCTATTCAATTGTTGTACGCTGTCGTTGTTGTTTCATTTCTTCTTACTGTTGTTGCCTATGGGTGTATATTGTACATATATTATTAAGCACAGAGTTGACATTGCAGGCCAGCAGAGTTGCCCTGCTAGTTGGTTTAGTTGAAGTGTATCCGTCGTTGAGTTTGGTCATATATTTGTTACGTTCCGCAATACGTTTTTGTGTTTTGTGCTCAGACAGTGAAAACATACATATAAAATAACCACTTCGGTTTTATGCATATCTATATTTTCTCAGAGAGAGAGAGAGTGTGTGAGCGCCAGAAAAGTAGAGAAAGTGAGTGAGCGCGCTCGCAATTCGACTGATTTTATGAGAATAATCACTGAGAGCGCAAAACGGTGCTCTAATATGAGTATCTCAATGTTGACAAACCCCATGCAATGCTGCAGTATGACCGGGGGAGTGTCGGCTGCATAAAAATTAAAGTGAATTATTTATTGAGAAATAAAATAAAGGTGCAAAAGACATAATCATAAACAAAAGTGTATAAGAAATTAAATAACGTGTATCGAATATTAATTATAAATTAAACGTGCTGCGTTCATACGAACTTCGACAATAATTTATGAGGCCTACTATTATTTTCGGAGACTACGATATTGCATTTTTCCAAGCCAAGTATACATATGAATATACATATATACTTACATAAATATGGCATGTTTTCACCGAAACAGCAACAGCGACGGTGGTCCTTAAGCTTCCGCATACAGGTGCTTGACCTATTTGTATATCCCCACATTGAACTACAAATGGATTAAATAAACAAAAAAGTAAAAATAAAAAAAATACTACAAAATCGTACAACAAAAATCCTTAGCTACATTAACTCAGTGTTAATTTTCGTTTTACATTTCTGTTCATACATTTGAGTTACACATTTTCGTTGTTGTTACTCTCTCACACTGTTCTCCCTCCATAAAATCTTTTGCTTTGTTCAATTTGTTGCTCACTGTGTGTGTGCGTGTGCGAAGTGAAGTATTTATAAGTTGTAAAGGCAAATGAAAGGAGAAAAATAAAATCAAATAACAAAAAACGTACAAAACTGACTGACTATGCTGCATGCAAACTTTTAAGTTATTTCAATTGAATTTTTTCGTTGAACGATGGATCGTCGTGGATTGAAGTTTATTTCGAAAAGGTATTTTCATTTTCATTTTCCTAACATTTATTTAAAGAAAATTCGTAGTTTAATTTCGTTTAATTTTGCTTTTGATACACATTATGCATACTTGATTATCGTGTCTGGCGCTTTGTTTCACGTACTTGCATACATACATACATACATACATACATACATATCTGTTGGTTGGTGAGTGCTGTGTTCCCAAGAGATTGCAAAAGTGGGAGAGCGATTGAAAATCGAGGCATGTGTGTTTGGTAGAAGCAGAAAATGCTGCCAGATGCTTTTGGTTCTGTAGTTTTCCTTTTAAGTTAACGCATTTAGTTAAATTGTTTATTGTAGACGAGCATAATTACGTAAACATGCGTATGCATTCATATATGTATATAATAAAAGTAAATTTTTGGTTAAAAGTTTGTGTGTAGTTGTATTTCCAATTGGTGTACGTTTTATGGAACATATTTTTTTCCTTAAAATTCTCAGTAATTAATTATAATTAATAAATGAAATAATTGAACAAACAATTTTAAGCTTCGTAGTATATATTTGCTAATCTAAAACGAATTAAAGACTGTTTATATTATATAAAAATATGCAATTGGGAAAAAAGCCTATTATCAAGCTTGTATTTTATGCAAATATTTCTCATAATGTGGCAACCTGAAACTCCATGGTGTTTATAACACTCTGGCAAACAAAATTAAACTGAATAAAATTCGGCAGTCTTGAGAATCTTCGCTTTTACGTAGTTGCATGTAAACGAATTGAAAGTTGATTGCAATATTTTAAAAATTGAGAAACATAAGTCATACATAATATAGAGGAAATGAAAGATAAACCTATAAAAAATACTGTAAAATACTTGTAGAAATGCGCAGAGCTAAAATGAATCTCATTTTTGTATTTAAAAAGAAAGATGATAGAATTTTTCTAATGTATTTTTTTATATCTGAATAAATTTTTAAATTTTCTTTTTTTACTTCAAGTATGTTATGAAAAAAAAAATATGCAGCTTCTTCCTTCCCAAATCGAAAAATAAATTTTGTTTTAACCTCGCATCATCTTTTACGCGCTCTTTCCTACCTACTGCCGCTACATAACATCATGAAATATTCCTATAGGAATTAATGCGCCCTTTTTCATCTGCCGCACGACATTTACTTCTACTTTGGTTGTTGCTGTATTCTGTATGTATGTTTGCTTTCGGCATGGCTTGAGTATGCAGCCAGGTAGATCTCGCTCTACGCTTTATGATACAGCAGCAGTCGGTCAAGTCATGCAAAAATGATTGAAAACCCAGAATTAAATATTCGTTGAGAATATGTACATACATATTTGTATGTTTGTTGTTGTTGTTGTTGTTGTTATTGTTGTTGATTTTGTTTTAATTTTTTATTACATGTTTGAGAGTCTATAATGCTTCATGTAAATATAATTGGTGTTAAGCAGATTAAAAAGCAAGAAATAATAATTATATAGCGGATGATAATGATGATGATGAAATTAAATGAGTTAGGGTGGAAAAAGTTGATTGCATATTCATTATGTCTAATTAGAGAATTTTTGAAATGCTAAAAGTAGTTGCATGTCCTAAAAAATACTTTTTAAGAAGTTTCGACGCTAAGAAAGATAAAAAAAGTTCAGAACAAAAGCAAATTTTTTTGCATAAAAATTTGAAAGTTAAGTTAAAAATGGAAACCATAGAAATGCAATGAAATAATTCCTTCTGTTATAATATATATTTTTTCTTTCTCTTTTATATTGTTTTCTGATTGCTATGAGTTTCTGTTGTTTTTTTTTTCTCGTTTTCTCGTCATGTGCTTATTATTTTGCTTTTCTTAATATCTTCTAAGCTCGCTTTAGAATTACCTCTCAGCTTGCTCTGCTCAACATACATTATATTTATTTATTTTTTTTTTTGCTCTGTTGTCTACTTGAAATGCACATTTATCAAAAAACCAGTTTTTAGATTGCCTAGCTCTTACTATTTTTTTTTTTGTTTTTTTTTTTTTGTATTTGTTTCTGTAGCTGCTGGCCAGTGTAGTGTAGTCGGCGCTATACATTACCGTTGTGCGCTGTGCGCTGTGCTTGTGAGGGATCGCAATTTTGCAATACACCATGAACTAAAATGCCCTAAGCTTGATTTCACATTGCAGACGCTCGGTAAGTCTGAGATGTTGTGTAGCTGAGGCCATTGCCGCTGTTGTCGTCGTCGTCTGGCAATGGCGGCGCTGTAAAGGCATATACTAAATACATATTCGTTGCAAAGGCACTACGGTTGCTTGGATATTTAAGGAAAGCAACATTACGAACGCACAGACAGAAAATAACGAAAAATATCAAATTACTAGCGGGAGTTGGGAAAGCGGGAAACAAAATGAATTTTACTTGGCGATAGAGGCATTAGTCCTGGCTTCATACAAACATACATGCAATATGCTTATGCATATACATATGTATATTAAGTATCAACAGTATCAACCAAAAAACTCCCTCGAGCTCTACCATACAACGTCACCCAGCTAAAAAGACATACTTCAAATAAGAATTGTATGAGGGAAATCTAAAATCTGCTTCATCAACAGATATTTTATTTGTTGTTAGGGGATAAAATTATGGCAATAATCAGTTGCCAATATACCCACGGTGTTGCTAAACAACATTAGCATTTTTTGATTAGATTTTAATGTTGCTTAAGGGTTCAACCACCACCACAAGCACGCCACAGCGGACCTCAAATATTCACACTCGATCAAATTTTGAATTTTACACATTAGTGTACTATATATTAGCGCTCTCCAAAATATTTACTTCACACTCAACTCCAATTGAATTTATTTATTCACACAAAATGCAAGTTTGTATTGCATCTGGCAACCCTTGATTAAATTTCAGCAATTCTTTTTATACTTGCATATTTTCTCTCTCTCTACATTCGTTCTTACCATGCTCTTACATATATTTCGCATACGTATCTTGAAAATTCATTTGTGCCAGCGGTTTCTTTCTAACGAGCGGCCATTTAAAAGCGTCTAACGCCATCTCTTTTCATCACATATGCACACACGATGGCGGACCGGTTTCACTGACATTGCTGTTGTTGTTGGAATGTGATTTTTTGTTTTTGTTTTTTTTTTCCTTTTGCTGCTCTTGAGGCTGACCGGCTGGTCGGGGTACACCATATTTGAGAAATGCGCGAAAAAAGGCAAAGGCAAAGGCACTGAATAATCGATAAAAGTCTATTGTTGTTGTTTTCGTTGCTATTGTTACTTGTGCCAACGGTGAGCATGTGAGTGAGCAAATGAATGTGGGTTTGCATGTGCGCGCTTATGATTGCATTGACGCCTGTCTGTTTTCGTTTTGTTATTTTACATTTGTATCTCGTTTCACCAACCACCATGAAAGCAACAACAGCCACCATAACAATAACAACAACAACTGCAAGTATGAAGCTATACATATATATAAATATGTATGTGTATGAAATACTGTCGTCGTCGCAAGGGCGAGTTGCTCGTGCATAGTTTTTGGCGAGTTTATGTTTGCTTCTCTTTCTACCCGTCGTACAACTTAATTGAATGAGTGGCGAGCGGCGACGGCACAACAGTGCACAGCACAGTACAGAGCAGCCGTCACAAACGAAATTATAGCACAACGCCACCACCAAAGGCAGCCACTTTATCAGCTGCCGCCGCTGTTGCTCTACACTCCCCCCTTCGCGTATATTTTTCTGTACGGTTTTTTTTTTTGTTATTTCGATATGTCGTGTTGTTGTACGCTTACACAAGTAAGCATCCGCTGCCGTCACCACCTCCACCGGTTTTTTGTGCTGTGTATGTGCATGGTAATCATCTAAAGAATGGACGCCATAAATTTTTTACAAAGAAAAAAAAAACAGGGAAGAAGAAGAGTCGAAAGAAATCCAAAGCGATAGCAACAACAATAAGCATACATATATTTAAAGTTAGTGCTCGCGGTGTGCTTATATTTCGTAGTTATGTGTGTACATACATACATATGTATGCATGTATGAGTTGCCTTGGAGCATAAAGCAGCAAAGCATTGAGGCGGCGCAGCACTCGATTAATTTTCATTCCAGCGTGAATTGTGAGCCGTCTGCCTACATATGTACATACATAAGTACGGTTTTTTTTTTTTTTTTTTTTGCTTTGCTGCTTTTCTTGTGCGTTTATTGCTTTTACTTTTGGTTTTTTTTTACTTTGTTGGTTTTATTTCATATTATTTTAAGCTGTCCACAGAAGTTTTTGTTTTTGATTGTATTTTTTATTTTTTTTTTTGTAATTTTTTAATTATTTTTTTCTTGCGCCTTTGTTGTTTTTGTGGTTATTGCACTAAATGTTAGCGCTGCTGGCCGTGAATAGCACGATCAGCCATCATCCCATGAGCATACACTTCGAGGCTTGCATTTCGTGCCTGGCGACAAATGTTTTATAAGCAACAATAACAACTATTGCAAGCATACATTCAAACCTAGATACATATGCATGCACATATACACGTGTAACACTTCTACCTAAATTTTTCAACGCTGAACTGAGTGCAGTGTATTAGCTCGCCGCATTAATGCAACAACGAACGCACAGACGGACGGACGGACGGACAACATTGCAGAGCCGGTTGGCCGTTCGATCGGTTAGACAGTCCGTCAGTTAGCCAACCAGCCAGGCACACAATTGTCGGCCACAAAGTTAATGTTTTCTGTCGATGAGTTTCAGTTTTCTGCTCTCGACTCATTATTGTTGGTGTTATGTGTCGTTTTTGTTGTTGCATTGTGTTGTGTTCTTTAATGTTCAGTGTTGTTTCTTGGTGTCTTTGTTTCCTCCAGCCTTTTTTTTTTTGTCCTTTTTACCGAGCCGCGTTAATGATGATGTTGCCGATATTTCATTTTGAACACAGCAAATCTAAAAGAAGAATTAATGGCTTTGTGCAACGCGAAGTAAAAATGAAAGAAAAGAAAAAAATACAAATATGCAAGAAAAAGACGAAGGATAAGATCA